CTCACCTCAGACCAGTCAGGGAACGTTTGTTCGGCCCGCTCACTGTTCCTTGGCGAAAAAGTGTTATTTAGGCAACTTTCGTCTGCTTCGATCTTCGCCAGAAAGATTCAAGCTGGAGTATCCGGTTGGGCTTTCAAAATAAAATTTACCCCTCAGGAGGTGAAAAACACTTAGAGACTTGTAGTCTCAGTGTAGGCAGGCGGCGGCTTGCCCCTGCCTCGGCCGTATATTCCCCTATTTGGCTTATGGGCAAAGTATACGGGCCGAGCTGGTTTCTCCGAAGAGAACTCAGCTTTTCTTCCCCGTTTGCATCCAGGAAGAAGTGTTCCATCTCTCAAAGTCGTCTGTGTTAGTAATAGAAGCGGACGAATTTGGTTCCGCCCTCAGGCTTAGAATGAGTCAGAGAAAGAAAGGAAGATAAGAGCTTTGCCAGCTGGCGCCAGGGCAAGGACAAATTCTGTGGTTGTCACAACAGAATGATAACCTCTTCTTTAGCTTTTCTTTCTGATAGACTCTAAGAGAAATCACTGTAAAACATTTATGATGATTAATTAACATTTCTGTTTAAGTAATCAGTCTGAGCCATTTGTTGGTCCAGATAAATGAAAGATTTTCTCAAGAAAACTCAAAATTATTTTACTGATGTTTCCAGTAAAATAAAAACAGTGATTTATATAAAAACACAATGAAAACATGGTGATGATTTCCTCTGTGATTTTTTATACCATTAATTAATCTTTTAGGCACGATAAAAGAGTAGAAGTGATTCCACTTTCTTTGTGACAGTCATTATATGATTAACAAATGCATAAACATTCTTAGTTAAAGAACAAATGAATCACGAACAGAAAAGATTGTTCTGTTCATTATCTGATTAAGAGAACTGGGGGGTTCTCTTCTAGGTTGAAATGACCTGTCATGGCCTAAATAGAGTTCAGTGTTCCTGCCTTCTCGTCAGGCCTGTCCGAGGCCTGCTCCGAGGCAGTAAATCTTGTTTCTTCACTCGAGGTGACCCCTACATGATGATGATGATGATAGAGCAGAGGTCTTTGAAATGTCGATGTTTGAAACAATGAAACATGTTGATTGAGCAGGACGGTGCTGAGAGCAGAGGAGGGTGTGTGTGTGTGTGTGTGTGTGTGTGTGTGTGTGTGCGTGCGTGCGTGCGTGCGTGTGTGTGTGTGTGTGTGTGTGAGGCAGGTTGTCGACTGCAGCTGACACTCAGCAGCAGAAACACTCAGGTCCGGTGGTCTGAGCAGCAGAACTTCAGCAGCTGAGGACGAAGCTTCTTCCTCTGCAGGTAAAACTGATCTGAAAACAGTTTGTTTTATTTAACAGCTGAGAAAAGGATCATTTAATCTAATTTATAAAGAGTTTTAATGTTTTTTCTTGCTGCAGACTCAAACTGTTTGATTAGTTTAGTTAAATCTGATTCGTTTTACTTTAATCGGTTAATGTTGAGCTGGTTTTTATAGTTTGTAGTAAACAGATTAAATGCACAGGTTTCTAATTAATTTAAGCCAAATTGGATCAAATTCAAGTTTTTTATTTAAACTAAAGTTTACAGCTTCGTAAAATCAGAACCAGATGAAATTAAACTTTTAAAAATTCAACTAATATGAAGAAATGAAGCTGCACCTTCCTGAGTCAGCATTTCTTTTTGTTCAGATAAAATATTAAAATGACCTGTTTATTTTTATTATGAAGCATAAACTCATTACAGCATGTAAACACTCAGCTGATGGATTCAAATAATCACCTCAAATCAAACAAGCTGTTTGACAAGTGTCAGTCTGGTTTTTGCTCTTCACACTCCACTGAAACGGCTTTAATCCGGGTCACCAACGACCTGTTGATGGCAGCAGATGCAGGCTCACCGTCTCTTCTAATCCTTCTCGACCTGTCCTCAGCATTTGACACTACTGACCACAATATCCTCCTCAACCGTCTCTCACAAGCTGTTGGACTTCATGATACTGTCCTTGACTGGTTCCGGTCCTACCTTTGACAGAACTGAATATGTTGCCATCAGAGAAGCCAAGTCAAAGACTCATACGGTCACTTGTGGAGTTCCTCAGGGGTCAGTTCTTGGTCCTACTCTTTTCACATTTTACATGCTGCCTCTCAGACAAGTCATCAGCCACCATGGAATATGTTTCCACTGTTATGCTGATGACACTCAGCTTTATTTAAAAATGGACCGTTATCCATCTGTTTCTTCCTCTACATCCTCCTCATCATCACTGTCCTCACTCACAGCCTGTCTGGAGGACATAAAGTCATGGATGAACAACAACTACCTTCAACTGAATAGCTCCAAAACTGAGGCGATGCTGATTGGCACTCCTCGTCAGGTTCAGTCATCCCCCATCACATCCATAACCTTTTCTGGACAGGACATCCCACTTTCCACTACAGTCACCAACATTGGTGTCCATTTTGACCCTCACCTTTCCTTTGACACCCACATGAAACATCTGTGCAAAACCTCTTTTTTTCATCTAAAAACATTGCCAGTCTCATCCCATTACTCTCTCAACTGGACGCTGAAAAACTTGTACATGCCTTTAAATCTTCAAGACTGGACTATTGCAACTCCATTCTCTTTGGTATTTCAAATAAAAATCTTCAAAAACTCAAGTTCATCCAAAATAGTGCAGCACATCTTCTGACAAAAACCAGAAAACATGACCATATCACACCTGTTCTGCATTCTCTTCACTGGCTTCCTGTCCCTGCCAGAATCCAGTACCAGACTGGTCTTCTGACGCACCAGTGCATACATGGAAATGCACTGAACTGCTCCYTCCACACAATAAAACTCGTTCTCTCCGTTCTGGTAACTCCTGCTCTCTCCAAATCCCCAGAACAAAGCTCAGCACCATGGAGGACCGAGCTTTCTGCACTGTTGCTCCTCGTCTGTGGAATTCACTCCCAGATCATTTAAGGGAACTACAAACTGCAGAATCCTTCAAAAAAGGACTAAAACCCTACCTGTTTTTGTACCTTTTATGGCCATGTTTGAATTTTATTTTATTTTATTTATTTTATTTTTTTGTAGCTCTTAGATCATCAGATTTCTCTTCTAACGTTTCCATCTCTCCTCTCGTTTTGTTTCTGAAGTCCTCACAAACTGTCCAGGGAAAACCCAGGTCTTTGAATGTTCTCCAGTCGGCTCCAGCTGCATCTCTGTCCCTTAAACAACATTTTTCTCTTTACCATGGGAACCACCGAAGAAACAAAATGGATGAGAATAAAAAGACTCTGACTGTTGTCATAGAAAGATAAACATTAACAGATTTTTATTTGTCATATTTGGACAAACCCACTCAGGATCAGAGCTCTGACCTTTACTTCTTAAACATCAGTTTGTTTTTAGACAGGAAACTAAAGATGCTCATCTCCTCCCAACAGATCACAGGACCCACCCCCTTTCACCAGAAATACAAGCTTTAGATGCTTCAGCTACATGCTAATGCTTTCAGCTGTGTGTTTCTGCAGCAACATGAGTTCAGATGACGACACTCGCTGGCTGGAGTGGGTCACCAAACAGTTTGAGAGCATCGCAGGAGAGGACAAAGAGATCGACCTCCACGAGTTTAAAACCGCCCTGAAGGTCAAAGAGGTCAGAAACACCTAGCTCAATTTAGCTTTCAGCTGCTGTTTGGATCATTTAGCTTTCAGCCTCTACGTTAATTTTAGCTTCTTTTCTGCTTGTTTAAACTTTAATAATTCATGCTGCCTGCTCTTAGGAGGCCAGCTGTCACCAACTGTGTTTGTGTGTGTATGTTTGTGTGTTTGTTTGTTTGTGTGTGTTTGTTTGTGTGTATGTGTTTGTTTGTTTGTTTGTTTGTGTGTGTGTTTGTTTGTGTTCAGTCCTTCTTCGCAGAGCGTTTCTTCGCTCTGTTCGACTCGGACCAGAGCGGATCCATCTCTCTGGACGAGCTGCTCAAAGCTCTGAACCTCCTGATCCATGGAACTGAGACCGACAAGCTCCGCTTCCTGTTCCAGGTCTACGATGTGGACGGTCCGTTTCACACACCTCCAGAACCAGAACCAGAACCAGAACCATACCTCTAAAACCAGAACCATACCTCTAGAACCAGAGCACAAGAAGTTTCAGATAAATGTGATAAGTTCTGAACCTGGTCTGCTGACCCGGGTCTTCAGGACCTTCAGGGTTCTTTTCCTGAAGGTTCTGGTTGTTTGTGCTGACAGGCAGCGGTTCCATCGACCCAGACGAGCTGAAAACGGTTCTGAAGTCGTGTCTGCAGGAGAGCGCCATCTCTCTGCCGGAGGAGAAACTGGAGGCCCTGACCCTGGTTCTGTTCGAGTCCGCTGACCAGGACAACAGCGGGTCCATCACCTTCGAGGAGCTCAAGGCCGAGCTGGAGAACTTCCCAGAGGTGATGGAGAACCTGACCATCAGGTGAGCTGGTTCTGTCTGCAGGTTCTGAGGGGCGGGGTCAGGTTCTGTAACCACCTGGTTCTGCTCCACAGCGCTGCCAACTGGCTGAAGCCTCCTGATGTGGACCAGAAGAAGCCTCAGACCCATCGGTACCTGACCCGGGCCTACTGGCAGAACAACAGCAGGAAGCTGCTCTTCCTGTGTGTGTACGCCCTCCTCAACCTGGCGCTGTTCGTCTGCGCCGCTCTGTACCACCGCTACGGCGGCGGCTGGTTCATGCTGGCCAAGGGCTGCGGCCAGTGTCTCAACTTCAACTGCACCTTCGTCATGGTACCAGAACCACATTCTGTTTTATACCAACACCCTTTGTCCTGGTCCGGTCCGGTCCCCTCACCTGTCTGTGTGTCCAGGTGCTGATGCTGCGCCGCTGTTTAACCTGGATCAGAGCCACCTGGGTGGTCCGGGTCCTGCCTCTGGACCAGAACATCCTGCTGCATCAGATCGTGGGTTACGCCATCCTCTTCTTCACTGTGGTGCACACCGCTGCGCACGTGGTCAACTTTGGTATACACACACACACACACACACACACACACACACACACACACACACACACACACACACCTGAATCAGGTGACAGTTGAACTAAAACCTTCTGTTGTTTCATGTTTAAATGCTGAGATCTTGCTGAAATTTGATGAAGATGCTGAAACTTAACTAAAAAGTAAAAGTAGCAAATGGCTAGCTCAATGCTACAAGTATCGTAAGGCAAGCCAAAAGTAGCAAAACACCGTCAAAATCTTAAGTTGCAAATTTCCAGCCAAAAAACCTAAATGTTAGCTAAAACCTAAAGTAGCAAAAAGCTAGCTAAATAAGCTAGTTAAATGCTACAAGTAGCATAAGGCAAGCTAAAAGAAGCAACTACAATGAAAATCGTAAGTTGCAAATCTCTAGCCCAAAAATATTAATATTAGCTAATACCTAAATATAGCAAAAAGCTAGCTAAATGCTACAAGTATCGTAAGGCAAGCTAAAAGTAGCAAAATACCATCAAAATTTTAAGTAGTAAATTTCTAGTCAGAAATAAATTAGTATTAGCTGTGATTGAAAGTAGCAAAAGACTAGCTAAATCCTACAAGTAGCGTAAAGCAAGCTAAAAGCAAAATGCCATCAAAATCTTAAGTTGCAAATCTCTAGCCCAAAAACCTTAATATTAGATAAAACCTAGATGCAGCAAAAAGCTAGCTAAATGCTACAAGTAACATAATCCAAGCTAAAAGTAGCAAAACACTGTCAAAACATAAAAGTAGTAAACTTCTAGCCAAAAATCTTAAATATTAGCTGAAATCTAAAATTAGCATCACACTAGCTAAGTTACAAAGTTCTAGCTAAAAGCAAAGAAAGTAGCAACAGATTAGTTAAATAAATTCAAAAGATGAAAAGAGTTGTGTGAACATCGTACAAACATAAAGACAGAAGACCGGTTGTCCCTGAGCTCTGTGTTCTGTCTCAGCTCGGATGTCGGCGAGCGGTGACTTCAGTCTGTGGGAGTACCTGTTCACCACCAGGCCGGGTGTCGGCTGGGTGAAGGGGACGGCCTCTCTCACCGGAGTCGTCCTCCAGCTGCTCATCTTCCTCATGGTGATCTGCTCCAGCACCTTCGTACGACGCAGCGGACACTTCGAGGTCCGAGTCCAGCTCCCCTCCATGAAGCGGGTCCTGTTTGGGTTTTGTCTTGAGCGTAGGTTTTGTCCCCTCCAGGTGTTCTACTGGACTCACCTGTCCTACATCTGGGTCTGGATCATCCTCATCATCCACTGTGCAAACTTCTGGAAGTGGTTTGTGGTTCCAGGGTTGGTTTTCCTGCTGGAGAAGATCGTAGGAATCGCCGTGTCTCGGATGGGAGGTCTTTACATCGTGGAGGTCAACCTGCTGCCGTCCAAGGTGTCCAGAACACCTGACAGGGACATTTCTTTTGATCCTTTTTAAAGTAAATGAAGAAATACTTGTTTAACGTAACACATGATGTCATCTGACTTTTGTGTTTGATTCTCAGGTGACTCATCTGGTCATCCGCCGCCCTCAGTTCTTCCATTTCAAACCTGGAGATTACATCTACATCAACATCCCCAAGATCGCCAAATACGAGTGGCACCCCTTCACCATCAGCAGCGCTCCGGAGCAGTCAGGTGCTGCTTGGTTCAGGTGTGACTTAGACCAAATTCTGGGCTGTGACCTTTGACCTTTGACCTGCAGACACCATGTGGCTTCACGTGCGCTCCATGGGTCAGTGGACCAACCGGCTCTACGAGTACTTCAAACAACCCGAGAGCCAGGAGCTTCATCCCAAGAGACTGACCACCAGCCTGAGGCAGCACCGGCAGCAGGAGGTCTGTGAGGAACATCTGGGGAACATCTTAGGAACATATGAGGAACAGCTAGAGAACATCTGGGGGAAATATGAGAAACAGCTAGATAACATATGAGGAACATATGGGAAACATCTGGTGGAAATATGAGGAACATCTATGGAACATTAGGAACATCTAGGGAACATCTGGAGAACATCTAGGGAACATATGAGGAACATCTAGGGAACATCTGGAGAACATCTGGGGGAACATATGAGGAACATTTGGGGGAAATATGAGGAATATCTAGGGAACATATGAGGAACATCTAGGGAACATCTGGTGGAAATATGAGGAACATCTATGGAACATTAGGAACATCTAGGGAACATCTGGAGAACATCTAGGGAACATATGAGGAACATCTAGGGAACATCTGGCGAACATCTGGGGGAAATATGAGGAACATATAGGTAATGTATGAGGAACATCTGGAGAACATCTGGGGCAAATATGAGGAACATCTAGAGAACGTCTGGACAACATCTAGGCAACATCTGGGGAACACATAGGGAACATAAGAGGAACATTCAGGAAACATCTGGGGAACATCAGGGGAACACATGGGGAACATAAGAGGAACACATAGGGAACATAAGAGGAACATTCAGGAAACATCTGGGGAACATCAGGGGAACACATGGGGAACATAAGAGGAACACATAGGGAACATAAGAGGAACATTCAGGAAACATCTGGGGAACATCTGGCTGCAGAAACATAGCTCTCTGTTTGTCTCCAGAAGGACAACATGTTCAACTCCTCTGACTCCAGCAGAGGCGTGGCGTCCAACGAGGACGACTCCATTGAGCTGACCTCGTTCCGTCAGAACGGACCAGAGTCCGGAGCAGGACCAGCCTCAGAGTCAGGTTCTCAGGGGTCCCTGAAACCCACTCCAGATGAGCCGGGGCCGGCAGAAAGAGGAGAGGCCCTCCAACTGCGAGAGGTCTCCAGCAGGTTTCATACAGAAAAAAGGGTCTGATGCTGAAGGATGACATCATCCTCTGTGTCATGTTAGACCTTCTTTAATTATCTGAAGATAATTCTGATTTAATTCATCTTTCTGATCCTCTGCTTCTGGTTTTTTCTGCAGATTCCTGCCAAGTTTGGTGAGAACCACAGGTTCTGCAACATCAAGGTAAAGATTTGATTAAAAACAGTTGAACCCTCTGCAGAGGCTGCTGATATCTCCTCTGGTTCAGCTTGTTCGGATCAGCAGGTCCTGGACCACTGAGAACCTGCAGCTGTGGTCCCAGGTGGTTCTGAGCGGGTTCTGTTTTCTGTGTCAGTGTTACGTAGACGGACCGTACGGCACCCCGACCCGGCAGATCTTCGCCTCTGAACACGCCGTCCTGATTGGAGCGGGAATCGGCATCACGCCCTTCGCCTCCATCCTGCAGAGCATCATGTACCGGTCAGAACCTGGTCCACCACACTGGTTCTGCCCTGCTTCAGAGCTCATCCAGTCAAGATGAAATATTTCAACAACTTTTTTTTCCTACAAAATTCTTTTTTTCACAAAAACACAGAAAAACAGATTTTATTTTTTTAACCATAAAAATAAATATATTTATTTTAATATCTGTTAAACCATTAGTTTATTTCCTCTCTGATAAACTCATCTGTGTTTTTGTTTGGTTGTTTATTTGTTTGTGTGTCTGTTTGTTGTTTGTGTGTATGTTTTTTTGTTTGTGTGTATGTTTGTTTGTTTGTTTGTCTGTTTGTTGTTTGTGTGTATGTTTTTTTGTTTGTGTGTATGTTTGTTTGTTTGTTTGTCTGTTTGTTTGTTTGTGTGTCTGTTTGTTGTTTGTGTCTCAGGTACCGGATGAGGAAGCACCACTGTCCCAGCCACTCGTGGTGTGAAAACATTAAAGACGACGACATGAAGCTGCGTAAAGTAAGAACTCGTCGTGCTGCAGTTTCCTCTCCCGACCCGTCAGAACCGAACCCGTGTGTTTCCGCCCCGCAGGTGGACTTCATCTGGATCAACCGGGACCAGAAGGCCTTCGAGTGGTTCGTCAGTCTGCTGACCAAACTGGAGCTGGAGCAGGCTGACGAGGAGCCAGAAGGTGGAGCTGCTTTAACTGTCTGAGCTCAGCTTTCATCTGTTGAATGAGGAGAACTGAGGAGCCTCAGGTTCTAAACCTCCTGTTAGAGCTTCCTTTTCATGTCAGAGTTTAAAACTAAAACCTGAGAAAAAACTAAAACCTGAGAAAAAACTAAAACCTGAGAACAGACGAAGCTCTCAGGAGCCTGTTGGGTCAAACCTGGAAACAGAAACCGACTCTGTGATCTTCTGACCCTTCAGGTCGCTTCCTGGAGATGCACATGTACATGACGTCGGCGCTCAGTAAGAACGACATGAAGGCCATCGGTCTGCAGATGGCGCTCGACCTTCTGGCCAAGAAGGAGAAGAAGGACTCCATCACGGGCCTGAAGACCAGAACCCAGCCGGGCCGACCCCGCTGGGAGAAGGTGAGACCTCAGTCAGTCTGTAACTGCTGGTAACCTGGTCTGATCTGCTGCCTGAGGAAACTGTGTGTGTGTGTGTGTGTGTGTGTGTGTGTGTGTGTGTGTGTGTGTCTGTGTGTCTGTGTGTGTGTGTGTGTGTGTGTGTGTGTGTGTGTGTGTGTGTCTGTGT